CTCTCTCTCTCTCTCTCTCTCTCTCTCTCTCTCTCTCTCTCTCTCTCGTTATGTCTTTGCAATTGATTTCTTGGATCCACTCGAGATTCTGGCCCGAAAAATCAAAGCAACGGAGAAAAGTTGTGTTTTGTTGTGCTGCGTATATGTTTGCGTGTATGTTTGTGTGCGATTTTATACTTACTCGGCTAGGAATCAGCAAGCGAATCATTTCCTCGTTGCGAGAACGTTTCTGTCCTCGATTATTATTATTGTTGCTGTAATTTCCGCTGGCATTACTGCCACCGCCACTGCTCAAGTTGTTGGCTCCATCGTTCATATTGTCTTCGCCGTCCGAGTTGTTTTCTGACATAGATCGCTTCATTTCGACTTGTGTTTCTAGATTTTTTATTTTAAATAAAAGAACAAAAATCATCACTGCGGTTAGTATTTGAGAAGCTCAACGTAAATGCTGTATAATAGAACCGTGTGCACGCAAGTGTGCCACTCGACTTGAAATCAAATCCTACTGAAGCTGAATGGCTTCGAAAAATTTACATTTGATTACAGCCGAAATTATTATTGTCGACGCAATTGAATTTGCCAAGCCGAAAATAATGAGATTGCGACGAGTGGCGTGTTATTATTTATTATTGACTGCTTTCGAATTTGGTCGATTGAATTTTGTGAGTTCAGCCCACAATCGATACGCAAATAGCAGCTCCAAGAAGAAATAAAAACCACAACAACAACTATAATAATAAATGAACGAAATAACTATCGTGGGCAATATCAATCAAATGCTACTTGTTAAACACAAAATTGACACGAAATATCCATTGGATTTCACTTCACAAAACACCAAGTGGTCATTCGATTTTTGGCGCGCACGCTCTCTCTCTCTCTCAACGACTCAAAGTCCAGAACAGCAATCAAGTGACATTCAATAACAAACTCAAGACAACGGACGCTGTTGTTCAATTGTAACATTTGCCGATTGACAATGCTATATACACCGCTGTTGGTGAAATGATGTTTAATTACAAAATGGTTTCGCTTGCACAATGAAAATCAACGTCTACTAACGTTGATATTTCCTAAATTAGCACTTCACTCACAGTTTTGTATCTCTCGTCATTTGCGAAAATGATGTGGTAAAAGAGCACGAGAACTGCTACACGATTACACACAGGTGATGATTTCAAGCTGGAGTGTTAGAGAGACAGAGAGAGAGTGAGGGAGGACAAGACCCGAGTGAACAAAAAAGGGTGAGTTTGAGAAATATAATCAGTTCAGAAAACGTGATATTTGCAAGGTAAAAGTCTTCAATCACTCACTATTCAACAAAGACGAAATAAAAGAAAAATGCGTCCTCATCCACACGCTCACTTCACTCTTTCTCATGCGCCAATGCGCTTCGGATTTATTTTATTTTCAATTTTCGCTATATTTATTGGAAATTGGTTACAATTTAAACACACAAATGGAATTCGAATAAATTTGGCTTTTCAGCGTACGAGCGTGGGCGCGCGTTCTCGTTTGGAATGCGAACGAGGGCGCTGTCGACGCGCCAAATACATGGAATTTGAATTCAATGCGATACATTTAGGTTTTGTCGAAATTGAGAGACAGTGCGCGCGGCGGCACAACATACCGGATCAATCTATGTGTCGCGCCGAATGACAGAGAGTGTAATCGATGAATCGGAGCTATCGATAAGTGCTCTGGTTGGCGGTGTTCGCATGCATAGTACATCGAATTGTTTGGGGCAATTTTTTCTCTCCTATATACACATTTTTGTTTCCCTTTTTTCTGTTCAAGCTTTGTGCAGTTACTTTTTCAACTTATGTAAGTTGGAATGTTATTGCTTGTAATTTGGATTGGATTTTTGTATGTGTCTATGTTGCCTCGTCATGGTTCTTAAGCCATAAAATGACATAGCAACAAACACTTTACGCTAGCAAGCGCTTCCAAAACGACTCGATCCTAACGCAAAAATATGATGAGAGAGAGAGAGAGAGAGAGTGAAGCAAACAACAAATGATAAGTCGTGAGCGATTGCAATTTTTTTTTCAACGTTCCCATCATAAAATCTTTCATTGCGTCACGAAATGGCATAAAATTAGCTTATATCCCATACCAGCCCATCGGCATTAGAATTTATTTTGTCATCATTTTGGTATTGTATCTTCAACCGCATCGTGCTGAGGTTCATAATGTCTCATGTCATGTTACCGACAGCACAAATGAAGAGCACATACACACACACACACACACACCACACACCACTAGTTCAAATAGAAGAAATTCGAAATGCCTGTGATGTCTGCATTGCTTTGATACACCGGATATTTCCTCTCATATCAGATACACTCTGCGTGCGTGTGCTTGCCTATAAATTTGAAAATTTCGATGCTATGCACTTTGCAATGGATACCAAGCATAATGAAATGATGCCAATCAATATAGAGGTCGGAATACATAAACATTTAAAATCTCTGTCTCTCTCGCTTTGATCCGCTGAAAACCCCGTCAGCAGTCCCATATGGGCACAACACACTTACGTGTATTCCACTCATTGTCTTGAAAACAAACGGGTGATATTTCTCATTTGTCGACAATTTCTTCACCGGGCATATTGAATTTCAAAAGCGAAAGTACTTGGATGCAACCGAACCAAGGTTTCAGGTAATTTGTCAAATTACACATAGCACCAACAACCGACCTGTGTATTAATCATTTTTCGCTCAGGTACATTTGTACTGCGGCGAATAACGAACCATTGAATGAACTTTTGTGGTGAGGCCCCAATTCAAAATATACACATACAAAGCAAGCACACCAACTAGCGGTACCCCTGGCTTTATCGGTGTGTGTGTGTGTGTGTATGTAATATAAGGTCGTCAAAATAAATTGTGCTTTGAGCTTGTGTATAGAAATTAAGTTGCCATAAATGGCATCTGATCGCATTCCAATTTTGGATGTGTGGAATTTAACGATGATTTGTATTCAAACTGAGTCGACCTTACTACAATTCGTATGAAGTCAACTTTAGCACAAATGCATCAATGAAGCGCAATTATTCGTGTACATTTCACAAGAGACTCGTATGCGGCACTTGATTCATTGGTCGTAAGTATATACAAATAGATACAATCAATTTTATTCGTACACTTTAGAGATACTACATTACTTGATCACATCGATCGAAATGATTGATTAGAAAATGAAGTATAAATTCGAGAGAAAAAGAAAGGAAAAAACGTTGGAAAGGGGAGAATGGGAAAACCGAAAGCTGTTTTGTTATTCGGTTGACCATTGAAAATCATCGAGACGGTGCAAAAAAAACTACTGAAGTCCATTAGAAATGATTTATTTGCTATTCATTATTATCAGCAAACATTAGTTTTGACACAAATAGGTATACATCGACGGCCATTTGTGTGACACTTCGGAAGACACAATGGACTGTTTGGAAGTGAATAAAAAAAAAACCACCGCTAATTTAAAACTTTGTTCGTTTCAATAGATTTTGTAGTAGTTATGCTGATGAGGAAGTATCTAGCCCATTCATGAGCTGATTCTAATGAACTGTCACAGAAAATATTAACAAAGTAAATATGCTCAAACTAAAAATATGGTTGATTTATTTGGAGAAAAGCTTCTTGGATCACCTTTTGAACTGTCGTGTGAATACTTGGTTGTTTTTAACTGCTTACCGTGTTATTTCAATCGGAAATTGTAGCCAAAGCAAAGCCGAAAAAGGAATCAACTTTATTATAACATGTATTTTTCATCCGAAACATACTCAATGCATATCAACCAAATATGAAAACGATCGATGAGAGAGAGAGAGAGAGAGAGAGAGAGAGAGAATATTTGATGCGTTTTGTTGATATCTCTCGAACATCAGGCAAAATATTTTAGATTGATTTTCAATGTTTTTGGTCGTTTGTTTGTGTGTTTTGGTTTCAGTTTTGTTGATATTATTATGAAAAGTGTGTGCGTGAGTGAGAGAGAGTGAATGCAGGTATCGTAGACCACTAACCATTTGGTATATCGAAATGTAATAGTATAATTATGTGTTTGGTCATCAATGAATAATATTTGAATATTAATGAAGCTAAACAAATCAAAAATGAAACAAAAACAGAAAAAAGTATAAATTAAGCCGAAAAAATTACGTATAAAATGTATGTGTTGAGTATGTGAATTCGTATTCGTATTCGTATTCGAAACGTTCCAATAAAATCCATGTTTCTTTTATTCAGTATTAGCATTAAATGGCAATTTATTTAAATGCGTCGACACGTGGCGTAGTCCAGAGAATACGGCAAAGTATCCACTGACCGAGAGCCAGAGGCATCGAGAGGGAAAAAATGAAAGCAACTGAGGGGGTGCTCGGTGCTAGTCCACTCATTTGTGCGAGTTCGTGAAATACACTCAATGAACCATGCTGAGCAAATTGATGAAAATACACACATATACCAGACCCGTGTGCAAATAAAGTGACTGACAGTCATTCAGTTGTATGTAGCTGCAAATAACTAAAACTGGCTAAGTTGATTGAATTCAAGAATGTTGTATAGAAACAATCACTTTTAGTTATTCTTTCAGCCAGCCGTCTAATTTCGGACTTTTTGGCTACTAGATGACTATAACTGAAGTTGACTACAGTCGAATATTTTGTTCGAGATAATCACTTTTAGTTACTGATAGTCAGCCAAAAAGTCCGAAATTAGACGGCTAGTCAGTCACAAATTTTTCACACGGGAGAGGAGCACCCAAATGAATAACATCAGTAGAGAAAAAAAAATGGTTTGATAAAGCGTATGCGGGGCCTTTTAGCTTTGCTCTGTCTCTGCAAGCTACCGCGGTTAATGACACTGCCAACATCAGAACCATCATTATCGTTGCTCTTCGTTTCTCTAAAAAATATAATTCACAAAAACTGGACTCATCCATTTCCATGCTCGATTTGTGTGATTTTGTTTCATTTAGTACATTTTCTACTCGATTTTCATCTGCACGTTTTTGTTCAACAACGATGCCGACAATGACGACGACGGATTACTGCCGTGGCAAGTGTCATCATGAGAACACGACGAAATATTCGTTTCACCAGAATCAGATTCCAACCAACAGCAACGGGCTGAGGAAAAAAGCGAACGAAAGCATAGAGAGAGAGAGAGAGAGAGCACGTAAATATGCCAGAGCAGTGGAACTACCAATAAAAATGATTCTAGTTGAAATGACAAATGATCTGTACGACGCTTATGGATTGAAAATGACGACATAACGAATCATAAATTCATTCTAGCTTCTATGCCTTTTTTCCAGTTTCAGCTCTGGCTCTGACTCTGTTTCGTTCATTGTTTATCGGCGACGGCGGCGCGCAC